TCTCTCTCTCTCTCTCTCTCTCTCTCTCTCTCTCTTCCTCCCCCCTCTCATCCTGGTTCTCAATCACAACTCTGCAAAATTCAAAAAAGAAACAGGAACGGGTGATTGTGACATCGATCCTGGATGCCTCCGGTTGTGTTCACACCACATAATTAATCAGGTCAGCGAAAGGCCTCCATGCTTCATTTGCATAAAATGCTAAGCTGGGATCCCTTTAACAGAGATGAATTTTTCGAAGGGCGAACGTACGGGCCTCGTGCAAACTCAGCCTTTCTGGGCTCGTTTATTTTCCGTACATTGGGAGACTCAAAAAAAAAATGAATCCATTTGGGAACCGGCTTCAACATCTGGAACAGCAGCTGCCGAGGTCTGCATTAATTCAGACCTCTTAATTCAGAAGGATAACCGGTTTTCTATTTCATGGGGTATTTAACGTTAGATTCGCTGCCTTCTTCTTTTCATCTTTTGCAATATTGTTTTATCCCATTGTAAGCTGCCCGGAGTCACGGGACAGTGATCTGGGTGGCATATAAATTAAGTAAGTAAGTAAATATTCCAGGATCGGGTGGATTTCGTGGTATACATGATGTACAATAACAATAAAGGCTATACCAGTGATGGCAAACCTTTTCAGCACTGCCATGAGCGCCAGACAGCTCATCTTCATGGAGCATCAGAAAACTGAAGACCAGCTGGCCCCATGCACATGCCTGTTTTGGGGGCTATCTTCAAGCTGTGTTGGGGCCGTTTTCAGGCTGAGTTTTGGGCTGTTTGCAGGCCATTTTGGCGCATGAAACGGGCCGAAAAATGCTTGTTTCGGGGCTGTTTTTTGGGGCGTTTTTTTCAGGGCATTTTCAGGCGCTCTGGCACCCCCCGAAGGCCAGCGCTCCGGAAACCACAAGAGCAGCTGGCAACAGCGCACGTGCCCACAGAAAGGGCTCTGCGTGCCACCACTGGCACATGTGCCATGGCTTCGCCATCGCGGGGCTACACCATCCTGATTTCCAATCATGAATTATTTTATTCCGTTTATTTAAAACATTTATTGGTCCATCCGTCTTATAACCAACTCCGTGCTCAAGTTAACACAGCATAAAAGGTTACAGCCATAGAAATTAGAGAGATAAAAGGCATTCTAAATAACATAAAGCATTATCGATTTTTGCCTGTCTTCATTATGCATTCACCTCCAAAGTAACTCTGTTGATTGTATTTTCCTTGGCTCAAATAATCTCTTTCATCTCTGTGTTCTATGTTTATTACTGGTCTGTGGATTACGGTGACCATGCCTGTGGACGGTTCACCAACAAATGTGCGCTCAACAAAAGCGCGGCGATGAAACCGCGGCGAGAAAACCGTGAGTTCTAAATTGCACTGACGAATGAGCGCAGAAGCGCGCCGACAACAGCGTGCCGACAAAAGCGTGCCTTCAAGAAACAAGTAATAACTGTGAGTTCTAAACCTAACCCTAAACCTAACCCTAAACCTAACCCTAAACTTAACCCTAAACCTAACCCTAAACCTNCTCCTCCTCCTCCTCCTCCTCCTCCACTACCACCAGCACTTCTCCTCCTCTTCCTTCTCTTCCTTCTCCTCCTCTTTCTCCTCCTCCTTCTCCTTCTCCACCTCCTCCTCCTTCTTCATAATCTCACATACATGTATAAGAATAATAGACCAGAAGAGCCCTTGCTGGCTAATGAATAATAGGAATTACAATCCAGCCCATCCAGAGTCCCCTGAAAAAAAAGCTTCATTATTAATTCTTCACAAGTTAAATAATATTCAGTGCAGTGAAAAGTTTGAAAACAAAG